GTCTTTGAATGGGGTTTTTCACATTTATTTCCCTCAAAAGCTTAATATTTTCTGCCAGAGAGATATGCAGTGAAAAAAAGACATTATATTTCTCTTTATATCATTTGGGGAGTTTATTACAATATATGTTTCTAAATCCAAATGGTGTCTCTGTTCAAAAACTAAAATTTATTCAAACTACATTTGTGTTTATGTTGGCATAATTGGTTTATTGATTTTAGGTGTCGAGAGAAGCAGAGGAAAGAAGCTGCTCGTCTTCAAACAGTGAACAGAAAGCTCAACGCCATGAACAAACTCTTGATGGAAGAGAATGATCGTTTGCAGAAGCAAGTTTCCCACTTGGTCTACGAGAATGGCCACATGAAACACCAACTTCACACTGTAAGCTCTTCACTTTGCCTCTACTAAACTCATTTTCTTCCCACTGTGATATGTTACTCTATGAAATCATTTTGTTAGATTCTCGCTTAACAGTTTGTACCTTTTCTTTTAAACTGCAGGCTTCTGGGACGACCACAGACAACAGCTGTGAGTCTGTGGTCGTGAGTGGTCAGCAACATCAACAGCAAAACCCAAATCCTCAGCATCTGCAACGAGATGCTAACAACCCAGCTGGGTGAGCTTCTCTTCTCTGTTGTGTATACCTCTCGTCGTTTTGTACTCTATGTGCCTCTTTGTGACAGCTTAAATGGTTTTGGTTTCAGTCTCCTTTCGATAGCAGAGGAGGCCCTAGCAGAGTTCCTTTCCAAGGCTACAGGAACTGCTGTTGACTGGGTTCAGATGATTGGGATGAAGGTAAAACTCTTTTAAGTTGTATATATTAATCTGATTTCTGTTGATTTGTTGCGTATGAAAAATTAATACTTTACTTTATATTATAATCTGATGAACCTTCTTTTATTGGTGTAGCCTGGTCCGGATTCGATTGGCATCGTCGCTATTTCGCGCAACTGCAGCGGAATTGCAGCACGTGCCTGCGGCCTCGTGAGTTTAGAACCCATGAAGGTAAAAAGAAAGTGTGATTTTTTTGCTTCATCTCTTGTGTTTGTAATCAGGAGAAAGAAATTGAATTTAAGTCAATCTTGGTTTTGGAAAAAATGTAGGTTGCTGAAATCCTCAAAGATCGTCCATCTTGGCTACGTGATTGTCGATGTGTGGATACTCTTAGTGTGATTCCTGCTGGAAACGGTGGGACTATCGAGCTTATATACACTCAGGTTTGTCATAACTCTTGTAGTCACCTAGTTGCACTTTCTTATAAGATTTACTAAGGACTTAAACCATGCTTTGTCACTCAGATGTATGCTCCAACAACATTAGCAGCAGCTCGTGACTTTTGGACGCTGAGATACAGCACATGTTTAGAAGATGGAAGCTATGTGGTAAGTTTTTTGGATCTGCTACTATGTCATGTGGTTTCTGTTTTTTAAGACTGCTTCATGAGGCCTTCTTTACTCACTGTCTTCAGGTTTGTGAGAGGTCGCTTACTTCTGCAACTGGTGGCCCAGTGGGACCTCCTTCTTCAAGCTTTGTGAGAGCTGAAATGCGACCAAGCGGGTTTCTCATCCGTCCTTGCGAGGGTGGTGGTTCCATTCTCCACATTGTTGATCATGTTGACTTGGATGTAAGTGACGACTCACATTGGTTCAAAACATATATATGCCCTCTTCAATAGTATGTTCTTGACTTTGTTTTCTGGTTTTGCTAGGCCTGGAGTGTCCCTGAAGTCATGAGGCCTCTCTATGAATCTTCCAAGATTCTTGCTCAGAAAATGACTGTTGCTGTAAGTTCAGACAACCTTGTTCACGAGTGTATACAAACCCCAAAACAGCTTGTGATTGATACTGTGTTTCTTACGTTTGGTTTCTTGTTTCAGGCTCTGAGACATGTAAGACAAATTGCGCAAGAGACAAGTGGAGAAGTTCAGTACGGTGGAGGGCGCCAACCTGCGGTTTTAAGAACCTTCAGTCAAAGACTCTGCCGGTAAGTATCTCCTTATCTCAAATAGCTTTACTGCCATTAATTTTTCCTTTTTTTTTTCTTCTCTAATTGTTCAAATGAATGAATTTGCACAGGGGTTTCAATGATGCTGTTAATGGTTTTGTGGATGATGGATGGTCCCCAATGGGTAGTGATGGTGCAGAGGATATCACCGTTATGATAAACTTGTCCCCTGGGAAGTTTGGTGGGTCTCAGTACGGTAACTCATTCCTTCCGAGCTTTGGCAGTGGCGTGCTTTGTGCCAAGGCATCTATGTTGCTTCAGGTACATAGCTTAAGGATAATAGAAATAAAAAAGCTTATCATCAGTTTTGGTCTTTTTTTCTTACTAAACTTGCATCTCTTTCTTGCCTCAAGAATGTCCCACCCGCTGTGCTGGTTCGGTTCCTTAGAGAACACCGCTCTGAATGGGCTGATTATGGTGTGGATGCTTACGCTGCTGCGTCTCTCAGAGCAAGTCCTTTCGCTGTTCCTTGCGCTAGAGCTGGTGGTTTCCCGAGTAACCAAGTCATTCTCCCCCTCGCGCAGACAGTCGAACATGAAGAGGTGCTAAAGAATAAAAAAACAGCTTCAGTTTTTTTTCTTCTCTGTTGGTACTTTTTATAGTAAAGAAACCTTTCGGTTCTCTTGTTACAGTTTCTTGAAGTGGTTAGACTCGAAGGTCATGCTTACTCACCTGAAGACATGGGTTTAGCTCGGGATATGTACTTGCTGCAGGTTTTTACTTCATTAGCTTCACCTCAAAAGCTTCTCTGTTCCTCGATTCTCTTGTTTACATTTCTCTGATCCTTGATTCTTGTACAGCTTTGTAGCGGTGTTGATGAAAATGTGGTTGGAGGTTGTGCGCAGCTTGTCTTTGCTCCTATCGATGAATCATTTGCTGATGATGCACCTTTGCTTCCTTCTGGTTTCCGCGTCATACCACTTGAACATAAATCAACTCCGGTAATTATATCAAAAAGTCAATACCCAAATCACATATATTCATTCCTGACGCAATAATCTTATCTTTCACTGTCATATATATATATAGAACGGTGCATCTGCAAACCGTACACTGGATTTAGCATCGTCTTTAGAAGGATCCACACGTCAGGGAGGTGAAGCCGACTCAAATGGTTGTAACTTTAGGTCGGTACTAACCATAGCATTCCAGTTCACATTTGATAACCACACGAGAGATAGTGTTGCTTCAATGGCACGTCAGTACGTGAGAAGCATAGTGGGATCGATTCAGAGGGTTGCTCTAGCCATTGCTCCTCGTCCTGGTTCCAGTATCAGTCCAATCTCTGCTCCTACCTCCCCTGAAGCTCTCACTCTTGTCCGTTGGATCTCACGGAGTTACAGGTATACTTTATTAGCGATTTAGGGATTTTTGTTTACATGTTCAGATATGAGTGTTTGTTTTAACATTTAACTCTCTTCTTTCTTGGCCGTTGTAGTGTTCACACTGGTGCAGATCTCTTTGGCTCTGATTCCCAAACCAGTGGTGACGCATTGCTGCGTCAACTGTGGAATCACACTGATGCAATCTTGTGCTGCTCCCTGAAAACAAACGTGAGTGACTAAAAGAGCTTTGGATTCGGTTGTTTATACCCCAGCCCTATTTATGCCTGAGCTTGCTTCTTGAATTTGTTGAGACGTGTGTGACAGACAATAGCTCTCTCTTTTACAGGCTTCACCGGTTTTCACATTCGCAAACCAAACCGGTTTAGATATGCTGGAAACTACTCTTGTAGCCCTTCAAGACATAATGCTAGACAAGACCCTCGACGAGTCTGGTCGCAAAGCTCTTTGCTCTGAGTTCCCCAAGATCATGCAACAGGTTTTTTTCTTTTTCATGGTGAATTTTTTGCTATTTTATTGGAAAATCATTGTCTGACTTTGAATCTTGAATTTTCTTCTTGTTGTATAGGGCTATGCTCATCTTCCTGCAGGAGTATGTGCGTCAAGTATGGGGAGATTGGTGTCTTACGAGCAGGCAACAGTGTGGAAAGTTCTTGAAGACGATGAATCAAACCACTGCTTAGCTTTTATGTTCGTGAATTGGTCGTTCGTTTGAAGAATAAGAAGACCTGATCACTCCATTCCCCATGGGAGGAGGTTATTTATGTAAGATATTAAAGTTAGGGTGCTATTATGCTATTTTGGATTGTTCTTAATGTCTATGGTTATGGCAGATATTATTATGATAATGTTAACAAATGTTAAGAAGTCTTTTTTTGTTGTGCTAATATGCTTTCGCAAGAATGGATTCTTTTTTTTTGTACGATCAATTTTAATATTGCAAAATTGAAGCGTCTAAGTTTAATATACACAAATATTATAAGTTTTTGAAATTTAGCAAAACAAAAATTAAGCCGAAATTGTATAAAGTTTGGAATATCTCGTAAATATGCACATCATATTGTAAGTGTGTCTGTGTTCATTCCTCTTCAGCATTGGAGTCTGGAGAATAATATTTCTCTTTTGTAATAAACGTGGTGAAATTTAGTAAAAAATAAATTTATTAGATGGGAAATTTTATTTTTATGCATATTTTGCAGTATAGAAGACTGAGATAGGGTTTGTAAGGTTGATCAATTTATAAAAGGGTTAATTTTTTTTATTGTTGAACGAAATTATATTTAGAATTATCTGTATTATTACTCCATTGTTCTGTATAAATTAGATTATTATTGTGTATAATGGAGGGTGGTCCGGTTTGAATATAGGTTCTAGCTGTGGAAGCCGTTCATAGCACTGCAAAATTATTCAAAGATTGGATTTGCATGAATCTTCACAATAAATGAATCTTATATTAAATCTAGCATAAGAAAACTACATAAATGGTGATGATGCCTCCCTCTCTTTAACTTATAGGCAGAGAAACCTATAAACGTTTTTCCTCTGTAGTTGTCTATTTTCTGTGAATAAGTTTTAAATGTTTTTGTACTCTAATGAGAAATTGACCAATTTGGTAAAAGATGGTAGCAAAAACAAAATGTTAAAAGGCGATAAAGATCGCCAATGAAACTAGGCCTTGGCCTTTGTTTGGTGCTTTAAATATGACTTTTTTAATTAAAGAGAGGATCTTATAACTTCTCTCTCTCTTGCTCTCACTAACAAAGAACAAAAATGGGTCTGGTAATAAAAGCTCTCAAATATCTTCTTCTCCTCCACATCTCCTTGATCTTTATCTACACCAATGAAGTCTCATCAACTTCTACGGTGACTCCTCCACCTTTGCGGGCGAAGATGAGCCGGAGACTTGTGGCGGTTGAAGGCATGGTTTATTGCAAGTCTTGCAAGTATTCCGGCATCGATACTCTCTTAGAAGCATCTCCTCTCCAAGGTCGTTACATTTTAATTTCTGATCTCTTTTCAATTTTCTATTAATTTATTTTGTAGGTTTGTAGATTTGTAACTTCATATATTTTTCACACGAACTTTGGATTTCAATTTTTTTTTTGGGGGTGTCATTGTTGCATGTTAAGAATAGGAGATTACTTCCGTGACACATAATATTAATATTAATTAACGTAGCGAGTTAAATTTATGAATCTTTTAATCAATTACGTGTATAAACAAAGGCATGCATGCATCCATATTCTATCAAATAGTATGGCTGTAGAATCTGATCAGATTAATTAGCGTCTGTCCAAAAACAAAGATTAGCCTGAATTTATAAAGACTCGGTAACCTAAGGATGCATGCAATGTTTAGATTGATTTTTGTATGAAAGAACTTGAATTAATGATTTCATTCCAACAAATTGTTGTAATTAAACTCCACATATAATAAAATATATCGGTTAAGAGTATTTGTAATTTTACAGTGTTGTACTTTTTGCGGTCACTTGTCAAACAGAAAACAAGAAAATATATATTAGAAAAAAACGTATTTTCAGAATTTACTCAAATGAAACAAAAAAAACTTTACAAAATTAGTAACTTCATGCTTTTGGCTTTCACATTTGTCAAGTCTCTCACGCCACTTGGCTTTCATGCATAAAAAATGTATTTTCGTCAGTTTCTTGTCTCTTTTCTTGAAATCCGTGAAATGTTTCAATGGCAGGAGCGACCGTAAGGCTTGCATGCAACAACACAAAGAGAGGTGTGACAATGGAGACAAAAACAGACAAAAACGGATACTTCTTCATGTTAGCTCCGAATAAACTCACCACCTACGCTTCCCACACGTGCCGGGCTTGGCCCACGAAACCCGGACCCTCGGCTGCAACGATGACATGCACTATCCCGTCACAGCTCAACAATGGAACGACCGGTGCTGTGCTTAAGCCTTCGAAACCAATCAACATCGCTGAACACGACTACGTTCTCTTCTCTGTTGGACCCTTCGCGTTTGAGCCGGCCTGCACTCGTTGAAGACTCGAATTCCGTTTTATGTATTTGTGTGTTTTGATTGTTATGATGATCACTAGTATTTTGAATGTTTCTGTCTTGCTTGTTTCGTTTTTTTTGGGTATGTTCTCATTTGAAAAACTTATGCGTGTTTTTGCGTGTGGACATTTTAAGATCATTATTGTGTTTTGATTTCATATATGTATACTCGCTTAATTACCTCTATGGCGTTACACAAACTAGCAATCTTCCTTATTACTGTTAGTGTCAACCAGTTTTTATTTAAAAAGTCCCATAATTTGGCTTCGCCCGGTTTATATAATTTATTTCGGTTCTTTCAAAAAGACCGGATTTCTGGCTTCTTCTAGTTAATTTACTCAAGTTTTTAATACAATCATATAACCGGTTCCATATAATCAAGATAACCGGTCGGTTCTATTCCAGTTAGATTGATATTTGATACTCTAATATGGGATTATGGAAAACGAAAACCTTTTTGTCAGATTCGGTCGGCTACACGAAATAGATTTCTCAGAAGTTGGGTTGATGATAGTATATATAGAGAAGCTGGAGATAGATTAGCCGTTGATTCTCTGATTCTCGATACTAATTTCAAGTTAATGATCATTATGTGAGAAACAACAAACTGAAGATTGTTCTATTTACAAGTTAGTTCATGTTTTTTATTCAATTTAAGGGCTTATATTGGACCAGGATTTCAACAACTCATACTCCATCATCCATTGCCGCAGATCATCACGTGAACATTGGAACCTCCAGGAACGTCATCTTTTCAGCTGCTTCTACTTTTGAATCGATCAAGATTAAACTTGGTGATCTCCCTTCAACCTTAAGTATTTTACCAAGTGTCTTGGCCAATATACCTAATTTGTAAATGATCGAAAGAATAAGAAGACAGAATCTTTTAGCACACGTTCAAATGAAAGTATGGCAAGAGAAAATTTAACTTAGCTCATTGGGTGCATCAAGAATAGGAACAAAATTGGAGAGAGATGTGTCTAACATTGATATCTCAGGACCAGCTCTGGATCGGTAACAAGACCAAAGTGACATTGACAAGGAGATTCGGTCAACGTATGATTCATTGATTAGACAACCAGAAGGCAAATGTATCACGAGATGTCTGATTCTGTTCACAAGTGTAGTTGCATGAATTAATATTATATCATGGAATTAGGAGTTGAATGCATTGAATTAATTATGTGTTCACATTAATGCTAGCTCAGGTAGCAATTACATCAATCTCAGGAGAACATCATTATCGAAGAGATAATGTTAACATGAGACTGAGAGTGCCACTTTTGGTTAAACAGATAACATATACATAACATAATAGAAAGATAACCCTAACCATGTCAAGACCATGCACGCTTTACCCTCAAGAGGTTTCTCGTATGACTAACAGCTTTCCTTACACAGTTTGCTTCAATATATTTGTCCACCATTACCAGTTGATCCGCCTTATCTTCCTTGTGAGTGGGAGATAATTGGTATTCACAAAGTGGTTTTTGAATATTTCATTTTTTTTTCTTCTTTATTTAGTTGAAGTTCTTTAGAGCAAACCCAACAGAGATATCATTAATGTGAATCTTATTGATTAATTATTAATATTTTGTGTATTTTATGTATATAAGATATTTTGTAGTATTTTATTGTTTTTAGAGCATACAATGGAGACACTTTTAATAGGTGTCTCTTATATATATATTGTTTTTTAATAAATTTAAGTAAAATTTTTTATTAACAACTTTTAAAATATAATATATTTTTAAAGATGTAATACATAACAACATATAAATTATAGAAGTATAATTCAAAAATTAGAATTTTCCATCATCCATATCCAGCTTATCATCACGTGTACATTCTTAATTCAGATATTAGTTTAAAAATATAAGATACCCTGAACCATTTTTTTTATTCAGTTTAATTATTAAGAATATTTGTTTAGACATCTAAAAATCTTTATTGGAGTTGGCTTTAGAGGTTTGTCATTAAGAGCATCCCATTACTTTTTTTTGTTTTTTTTTACTTTTTTGGAGCACCATTATTAATACAGAGCTGTTCTGCTATTGGGTTATATCGTTATATTGGGCTTTATGATGGTTTGTATAGCTTGAGCGTCAAGTCTATTTAGGGATACGAGCTAGGGTTAATAGTCTTCGTATATATATACTTTGTATCGCCGTTTGATATCAATACAAGAACACATTCTCTTATTCTACATTTGCCATTACTCAAAAGTTAGGTTGATGGTAAAGATATATCGTAATAGTAAACATGTAACACTGCAAATATATGACAGAATCATTGAAATATCATTAAAATATGGTAAAATAGAGAGCTATAAATTGGAGAGTCGCATCATCGATATGCTATTCTACAATTCATTCAAATAAACAAAACAACAACAAAAAACCCCTAAAAAAGAACATAGTAACATGATAATAGTTACGCAGGAGGATAAATATCAGCACAACATTCTGGACAACATTGTGCAATTCGTTTGGGGCAATTACACAGGTACGAGGCGATAGCCAAGACGATGACTACCACTGTAATTGAGATCGCTGCGATATAACCATTCTGCAACATTTTCTTCACCACACCAAGGATTCTTCTTTCTAACCTTCCTTTCGTGTCTTCTCCACTACATTGCATATATATATATATATAGGATATAAATAGTCACAAAAGTTTACCTTTTTTTTCACTAAATCGGGGAAACTTGGAATATATTGATTTTGTCATTATTGAATATTAACTAGGAAAGATTGGAAACTATACACTTAATTTGTTGATTGTCACGCCATCATTTATGTACACATGCATGAACATTAACTAGGAAAGATTGGAAATTATACACTTTGTTGATTGTCATGCCATCATTTATGTACACATGCATGTCAATTAATATTAATCTGCATGTGTACATTTTGTCATGACATATTAACAGGTTCTTTCAATATTAACAAGGCGATAGCAAAGACGATGACGACCACTGAAATTGAGTTCGCTGCGATATTACCATTCTGCATCATATTCTTCACCACACCAAGGATTCTTCTTTCTACATTTCTTTCGTGTCTTCTCCACTACAGTGCAAATATATATAGTCACACAAGTTTACCTTTTTTTGTCACTAAATGGGGGAAACTTGGAATTATATTGATTTTGTCATTATAGAATATATTAACTAGGAAGAAAAACTGGAAACTTTACATTTTATTAATAAGAAACATTAAGATATATTTCCATCTTTTCCCTAGCTAGTTAGATTTGTATAGGTAGATTTGTTATATTAGAAACAAATGCAAAAAGAACTATCATTTACCCAAATTTAGTTATATTTTCTTTCTTTTTATATAAGATACCATATGGATTAAAATAATTACAGATTGATGATTTATCTACTTATATAGGTAGATTTGTGGTTTTCTGTCATACATATTTTCTCTTATATATTTTTATTTTTTTTTAAAAATATTTATAAATGTTATTATTGATGGAATATATGTTGAATAATCTAATGTTTTACTCTTCTGTTTCACTAAACTTAAATTTAATATCAAGCACTTGGCTAGACTTATTAACTCTGAACATCGCATCAAGACTTTTTCTATATGAAGTTAAACCATGATTGATAATTATACTCATTCCAAAGAACTTTCTAGTCTCATAAAACCCTTTGCTCCCCCATAAATCAACTTTGGCGAAAGCATTAAGCATGTGAGAATTATCATCACACACGAGCAAACACCACTATAGAGATCCAGCGATTACGAACAAATCCTGTGTAATGATGATTCTCATGCTTACCTGCTTACATAGCTAGATTCGAACCTGCACGCTGGCATTACATGAACAGAAACACACTGAAAGTGTGTTATTGTCACAAGAGACAAATGCACAGACCAAATAAAGGACCGAATAAGTTTATTCGCTGTTTTTATGACATTACATGGCTTGATGAGATCAGAGGTTGATAGTAATAAAGTCTTGAGATTCTTCACCAATCAATACCAAGTTGCTTGGATAGAAATAGATTATCAAGATAAGTGATTACTGGCGCCGATGCATTTACATAGCTTTGCATCTGTATCTTAGCCGCCGCCTCTGTAACAAGTTCAAAAATAAACCAAAAACAAAATTATCATCAGCGAATTGCAGCCTTCAAACACTATGAAGAAGAAATCTCTTTTAAGTTTTAACCAACAACAAAACAAAAGATTTATGAATTCTTAAACAGAGATAGTATGGGTGGTGCAATATGAAGCCAATGTAAAACTCAAAGACATTTCTCTTACGACAGATGAAGTAAACACGCCAGATATTGCCGTGTGATTTGTCTTAACTGGTTTAAGATTTTAAATTTGAAAACCTCGAAACTAAATCTGACTACTTGAACTACTAGTTTATCTGACACAGAACACACACTGCATCAACTAGTTCATGCACTCACCATCCTCATTGAGCATCTTAAGTAGGTGAGCCCTTGTGGGAAGAGCGTACATCCCTAGAGAAACAGCTTTCCGTATAGCCCATCCATGGTGGGGAGCAAACACTTGATCATAAGACTTCGATGCTGGATCCTTCAAGGAGTTATCACCTCTGCGAATGAAAATCGAAACACATTTAATCTTCTGATCTCTTGACCAAATCAGAAAAAAGAAAAACTACAAAAAAGACTCCAACTTTCTTTGACTTCGATATCCTTATTCAAGTCACAAACTGGCTTCGATGATCAAGCACGATACATAGTTCGGTATAAAATTTGGAAGAAAGCTAATGCATTTGCTTTAAACTTGTCACGAAACTCACACAAGAGAGTCCACGAGTTACACTTACTCGGAAGCTATTATCTGTTCAAAGAGAACCCTGACCATGTCAAGACCACGCTTCACCCTCAAGAGGTTCCTCGTATGACTACCAGCTTTCCTTACGCAGTTAGCCTCAATATCTTTGTCCACCATCACCAGTAATGTCGATATTGAACTCGACGCCCTCGCAAGATCATCCACCTATAGCCATTTTCAAGAGTTAAAACTTTTCCATTTCCCGAACCTTCACCCTTTAAGATAAACACACACTACATACATTTCATCGACATTACGAAATTCAGAAGATTGATTCCAAATACTTCACACCCTGACTTTTGCTAATCGATTCCAACATCTCACAATACACTTATAAGCACTTGCAAGGGGAGCACAACACTACAGGCGAAGCAAATTCAAACATTTCTACACAAAATCTCGAACCATGTATCAACGATAATCTATAACCTCCGCATCTACTGTAGATTTCATCATAGTCAATATTCACTATTCTCAAATCTCGCGACAAACCTTGGCAACATAGTCCATTTCCGCGAACTTGAAGGCTATTCCGAGGCAACCAAAGAGAGGCGACACCAGAGAGCAAGCGTGAGAGAATTGCGCCACAGGCACTTCCGGGCTCGGCGAATTCACGGTGGCCGCTAGTTCCTTGAAAGCCGTCGAGATTTTTCTCAGCGGCCTCCCAGCGTCCGAATCCGCCATTGAAGATCTCTTCTTCTTTCTCTCTCTCCTGATTTCAGATTCTTCTGTGATCTTTCGATTGGTATCTGATTTGCCGCGGAATCTACTTTGCTGCGGGACGACTCAAAAGGAGATTCGCTGATCAGTTTCGTAGACGTGTGGCATTCAGATAATTCATATCCTTCTTCCGGATAATATTATCCCCATCCGAGTTTATGAATCCGGTTACGTGGGAGTATTAATATGGAAGTAAACCAAGATTTTATGCAATTAAACCGAATAACCGGAAATGTGTTTGTTTGATTAAATATATACACATATATATATATTTAAATCTACTAAAACTAATTAAAACTAATTTAGTTAAAGTAGATTTTTTTATAATATCTAAAACTGAACCTACACCCCAACTAAAATCCTTCGAACAAAACGGAGCTAAAATCAATTCTGGTTCTAGGTTGAACCATTTTCTAAAACCTGAAACCCAATCAATATCCATTTTCTAAAATCAAAGTTTTCAATACAATCAATAAACTCTTGATTTGAATTTGATGGTAATCCGTTTAAGATCAACCTTCTCACCATCTACAAAAATGTAGGTATGAAAGAATTGAAAAAAAAAGGTACCAAAATTTTAGGTAAGGGATTATATTTAATGGTTATATTGATTATTGGACCGGCGGATGCAATTATTTTGAACAGTTTAAAAGAAATTATAAAGATAGTGACATTAATTGATTATTAGGTGGAGCTTATAAAATTAATTGATGAATATTTGGGATAATAATTTCCGGATAAGAACCAATTAATAATAGAAACGGAATGTATCTCTGTGTTTCTTGACTTTTAAGCCAAACACGGTGTTAAGTCTCTCGTTGGTAAAAAACAATTCATCAGTTTTCGAAAAATGCCCAGTTGTCATTAACTCCGCTTTTACGGTTTCCGCCAATTTTAATTCTATAATTTCAAACTTTTCTCTCTCACCAGTCCTCTAATTAATATTTCTTTTATAAAATATTCTCATTCGAGGATACTTTTCATCATAGCCCCTCTACTAATGTTATTATCCATAATTGTCCCGCTTAATTTTTTGTATACTTCTATCGTGGGATCATTTTCACCGAGTAAACAATTAAGATAACACCAAACCCTATTTTCATTCCCGGGGGTTAGAGAGGAAGTTCGATTCTCATAAGGTCATTTTAAAAATGAATTTGAAACCTCATTAGTGTAGTACTTAGAAGAAACATTACTAAATAAGAGGGTGGATACACGAAACAAAGTATAATACAAGGGTGTGTATATTTTGGAGTTTTGTTAAAAACACATATACACACTCTTTTTTCTGCTTCACTGTTACTGTTCTTCTTCGCTTTCCTCCTTTTTCTTCAACCAATATCTCTCTCTCTCTCTCCAGCTATTTTCTCTCTGCCACGCTTTCCCTCAATTCAATCGTCTTTCACCTTTTCCTGTTTTTATTCCACTTGAAAAGCTTAAACACTTAAATCAGTGACGAGCGTTTCGATTATCTGCTTCATCCAGATCTACATTTACCCGTTTCTGCCAAAAACTGTTCTGTCTAATACGAAACTGACGGCCGGATTCTTCGCCAGAATTCTCGCCGGAGCTCCTGCATTCACCGGTGCAGTGAAAATGGGGTTTTGATTACACTGCTCACTCCTTTGTTATTGCCGTAAGTATTTTTCTTCTAAGTCGAATTTTTAATTAATTTGAAAACTTTGTGAAATTCATTTGCTTGAATGAAGAAACTTCCTTTTCCCCGAATTTCTTCATTTCAAAAAACTTTTACTTTCTATAATTTCTCTGCTGTTCCATTCGCAAACAACTCTCAAATAAAAAAAAATATTGCTTTTTGTGGATTGGCTGTTCACAAAATGACCAAAAAAATGTAGAAGTAACCGACAGTGTAGCTGAAAGAAGCCAGAAGCTCCGTTGTCTTGTCTGTATTCTTTGAATTGAGACAATCTGCTAGAGGCCGTACTTGTTTATTTAATAATCCTGTTACGAGAATCCAATAAAGTAGATAAATTGTATCATCCTGTGTTCGATTCCACTGTGTGCAAACACTGCTTGTGGGCTCACTTGATTGGGTGCTTCGGGAGGATACCCAAAACAGTAGATGAATTCATTCGTGTAATGAAATAACACACAAGTTTCCTTTATTGTCATGTCTTCTTTAAACAAAGTTTTTTTTACCTCTTTCAAACTGAAATGATTGGATCATGCGTCTCTTCTGATTTCCAGGACTATCTTCTATTTCCGCAATAAGTTTCGAATTGATGGAGGAAGTGGCAGCTAAGGCTGAGGAAGAGACTCTTGAAACCACCGTAAAGGCAATGAAAGAGGACAATGCAGCTACAGCTGCTGGAAGCAGAAGTCCAGAGAGTGTTTCTGCAGCGTCTTTAGTGTCAAGTCGAACTGCTACTACTAGAAAGAGAGCAGTAGTTAGTTCGAATTTAGTAAAGCCAACGGCGTCTTCCTCTTTACGAGTCTCAAACTCTACGCCTGTGGCAATCAGGAGAAACAGCACTGGAGGAGTAGCAGAGAAGACTTTAGGTGCCGCTAAGGTTCTGCCGAAACGTACGAGTGCTGCCTCAGTTACTGATCCGGTAAGGCGGTCACTTCCAGAACTGAGGAGGAGCTCAGTGTCTAAAGCAAGTCTTCCCGAGAGTAGAAAGCCTATCCCTGTATCACCAGGTAGCCGGAGTTCGACAAAGTCGACTGTCTCTAGCTCAAGTAAGCCGGAGTCTTCTGCTAGATCAGCCATGAATGTCTCTGTGTCTTCAAGAAGAGCTCCATCTTCATCAGTTGACAGTAGTGGCAGCAGGAGCAGCAGTGGAAGAGCGAATTCTACTCTTAGTAGTGGGAGGACAGTATCTAAGATTTCTTCTCCCTCCGCTGGATCATCACCTTCTGTTTCTAGCGGTATAAGATCAAAGCCATTGTCGACACCTCTTGACCGGAGCTCCAACTTCTCTGGACGGAAGAAAACAGCTACTCCAGAGAGCCGCGATTCGCGGCTCATTATTCTTCCGAAGGTGGAGGTCAAAGCTGGTGATGATATGGTTAGAATTCACTTTCCTCTTTGTTACTTACTAGATTTTCGTACAAGAGGTCCAGTTCTTGATTGATGTTACATTTATGACAACTTATATAGTTATTGATTGATGGATTTTTGTTATTGGTTAAGAGATTGGATCTCAGAGGCCACAGGATTCGTAGTCTAACCTCCACTGGGCTACACTTGTCGCCAAACTTAGAGGTAAACCTATTTTTCCATGATAACTTCACATTGTTCTAGTGCAGTGTTTTGTGACAGAGACGGTTATTTGGATATGCCAATCTTGGATTTGAATAGAAGTAGGAAGGATAAGTTATGTATCTCCCACTTGGAGGAAATCTGAAGTTTCTTAAAGAGTTCCTGATATCAGTTTTGAAAGTCCCAGAAAGTCGAATACAATCTTTTGGACACTAAATATGCTCACTTGTGTGAAGTTCTTACTTCAATTATTTAACTTATTCTAATTTCCTCTACTTCTACTCCTCAACAGTTTGTCTATCTTAGAGACAATCTCCTATCTTCGCTGGAAGGTATTGAGATATTGAGTCGAGTCAAGGTCAGTAAGTTCATTTCCTCAAGGTTCTTGGTTTTCAACATATATATACTCATACCAGCTGTGATCCTATTTCTTCTTTTAATCTCAGGTTCTGGATTTGAGTTTTAATGATTTCAAAGGACCTGGATTTGAACCACTTGAGAATTGCAAAATGCTGCAGGTTTTTTTCTCCCCCATTCTGTCCTTGGTTATTCCTTGATGAGTGTTATCTGATAAATATTTTGAATCTTATATTACTTGGGCAGCAATTATATCTTGCTGGAAATCAGATAACTTCACTTGCTAGTTTGCCTCAACTTCCGAACTTAGAGGTGAGCTTTAGAAATTAAAAAAGCCTCTTGTTGATATTATGTACCAAATAATTGCTATCAAGTTTTTCGTACTTGTATCTCTTCTTGTGGATTACCCCTGACTTGTTCCGACTATTATGTTCCTTGTTACCATGCTAGTTTCTCTCTGTCGCTCAAAACAAATTAAAATCACTTGCAATGGCAAGCCAGCCCCGGCTTCAGGTACATTTTCTGTTTCAGAATTGAGGTTGTTTACAGTACATTGTTACAAGTTATACTTTTAGATATCTCATAAAAAAATTTCTCAGGTACTAGCAGCAAGTAAGAACAAGATAACAAATCTGAAGGACTTTCCATATCTACCAGTTCTTGAGGTTTCAATCTTTATTTCCCGAAATATATATTATTCAACCATTTTTGTTTAGCTGATCAGTTGGTCGCATGCACTGTTTAAATTAACAAATATGTGGGATATTCTGTTCTCTGAACAAATTTTATCACAATTTACTGTGTAAATGGGAAGGTTTTGCAATGGCTGATTTTGAGTACTTATTGATATTGTTTGAATCTTTTGTTCCATTCATATATTGTTTTATCTATTACAGCATCTGCGGGTTGAGGAAAATCCATTACTGAAGATTTCTCATTTGGAAGCGGCATGCATACTACTTGTAGGTCCTACCTTGAAGAAATTCAATGACAGAGGTACAACAGATACAACAGAAAGTATTCAGAAGCTTTTTCTTGTGATGTACGTACCTTAGATTATATCTAGGTCACTGTGGTCCATGTTAACCCTGAATAATTTTTTAGATCTCTCTCGTGAGGAAGTGGCAATTGCAAAGCGTTATCCGCCACAAACAGCCATCTGCCTCAGAGATGGCTGGGAGTTCTGCAAGTCTGAGCTCGCAGCTGGTATGAAATCACTTCTCAGAGTTGTATAATCTTTTATTGTGGCTTTGATGGGTAGCTCACAACCTGATGATCTCCGAATGAAAAATAAGGCCTTTCCTCTCCCTTGAATCTTGTTTGTCATCATTGCTCACTTTTGGAAGTTGTCTGTTTAACCAAAGTTGCATTTTCATGTTAATAT